CAGAAGTAGACTGGTAGAAGTAGCTGTGAGTGTTTATTAATTTATTTCTTAAAACCAACAAAAACCATTAATAAAGTAAATCAATTACATAATAAATTAATGGGCAAAATGAGAGATGGAAACACATTTGATGAATAACTTTTGAAATTTTAAACATTTGCAAAAATTTAGCCAATCAGTGACGAACAGTGTTCTGACATCGCAATTTGGTGTCAGCTGGGGCCGGTTGGAACCACAATGAAGTAGGTACTAAAAAAAGTGCCGGTTCCATGGATCTGGCCTAATGGAAATGGCTTGGAACCGTACCGACACTACACTAAGTGGCACTAGTGGAAAAGGGGCATAAATCTCCATCAAAAAGTTCAGCTGGATGATATCTGGTTCTCTGGCAGGAAGACTAGGTGGGGCTGCAGGAGGTGTTTGGACAAGAGGAGGGGGTTGAGACGCCCCTAAATGGGTGCTATGGAAGCCATTTGACCACTTAATTTATCTAGAACGGAACCAAAAGTTTGTTGTTGCTGTAAGATTTGTTGAAGGGCCAATTCATGTTTGTCAATACGTTGACTTTGCGAACTTAACATGGCTTGAGCTTGGTCTGTCTCAGTACCACTCGCTGACTTTAAGTTGGCTGAAGCATGCTGACATAAACAATGTAATAGTCTGACTGGGAGTGGAACTGAGCACACAAGACAACAAGCAGTACAAAATTAAGTGTCTTTATTTACAGGTGAGGGGAAAGGGGGTTTTGGTCATCTGGCCTGAAAGAGGGGGGAAGAATCCAGGTGAGTCCAGACTGATAATGGTTTAACTTGAATTGTTCAATGATTTGTCTCTCGTTTGTTTGTTTCTTACAGATTCCAGGAAGTGGCAAGGCTCCAGGAAGGGTAGAATCCAAAGGTGAGTTAGTTTTCTTCAGGCAGAGCGGCAAGGCAAAAAACTTAATTAGACAAAACCTCTGTTGCAGATCCGTAGTGGGAAAAAAAATAATAAAAAAAAAAAAACCAAAGAGCTGTCCTTGGGCACAAAAACGTATTGACATGGGAACCTTAAAGGAAGGAGGTAAGTACAAGTAAGTAAGTAAGTAAGTAAGTAAGTACTGTACGTATGTATGTATGTATGTATGTATGTATGTATGTATGTATGTATGTATGTATGTATGTATGTATG